GCATTTTACCAAGTACCAGGGACCAATCTAAAATAATGGGCCGGGTGAGGCCAAGTCAGCCATAAAAATGCAAAAATGGCAGAAAGAAACATGAAGCCTCCTTGAATCCTGTTTATTATAGCTTTGAATATTATTGAACAAAGATTCCTGTTGTCAAAGCTTTTCCTCTTGCACTTATCAGGACATTTTGCAAGAATGCAAATTTGAGGAGTAACCAACATTTGTACTGCATAAGATGAGAATAATGATTGGTTGGTAAGTGGACACTGACGGGAAGAGGTAGTGCAATGGAGATTTCTTTAATTAATGTTGATTGATAATTAACAGCCAGGGTTTGTTCAATTTTAAACTCTGAGGAAGGGTCACCGGACCCGGAACATTAACTCTGTTTTTCCCTTCACAGATGCTGCCAGACCTGCTGAGCTTTTCCAGCAATGTTTTTGTTCCTGATTTACAGCATCCACAGTTCTTTTGGTTTTTAAACTGTGCATGTTGGCTCTAATTAGTTTAGGGCATTGCCCTGAGAAATGAACCAGCTAATAGCTGCTAGCAGCACTCATGTTCAATATGAACATATTACAATTGTTTTGTATTTTTTATGTCTCAGATCTACGCACAAATGATTCAAAAGCTTATATATTTGTAAGACAGGGGTAGGCAAGGTGTGGACCTAAAGGCAGGCAGTCAGTATCACCATGAGGAGCTGGTGAGGTGAGAGCTCACAGGTAGTTTGAGAGACCTAGCATGATTCTTTGGAGCTAATTGGCTTTAGTTGGTGAATCTCTTATAAATAGTTGTGATTGCTTCTATTCCTAAATTTTAACCTAATATAAAAAGGTAATGTTAGTAAAATATTTAAAAAAGCAACTTTAGTAAATGAATAATGTAATTTGAATTCATTAAGGTTGGTATTCAGATGTTCTGTTAAGTCTCTGGCATATGGAATCTCCTGGATACTATTGTGATCTGGGAAAAACCTGTTTGAAGTTTGAGCAAATTTGGCTCAAAATTTATGAGTAGAATGTTATACTACAGACAATAAGGAGGGGGAATGTTACTTGGATGCAATCGTACTATTTAGAACAGAATCTTGTTAGATGTTCTGTCAGCCTGCTTGGATGACACCAGAAGCTAAAGGGTCAAGGTGCAAACTGACCGTAGCACCTTAGTATGGGAAACGATTCAAGTGGGAGATGCAACAAGGGATGTAATAATGATAGTAGATTGTACTGCGAGGGTGATTGACACCGTTCTCTGCAGCAAAGTGCTAGCATTCAGAAAGCTGTGTTTTTTTGTACAGTGCCAGGGTTTGGGACATCTGCTGAGGCTGGAAAAGAACTTGCAATGGCTGGAGAAGGATTAGTGTGTGAAGGCTTTGTATGTTTCTGTATTTTTAGTATTGGGCTGAAATGGGACCAGAAATGCTTTATATAAAAAAAAAACAAGGATAGTTGATTGTTTGCTGGACTTTTAAAAAGCAAATCACTTGGCATACATTGTAAATACTGTTTACACAGCTGCTTGGTCAAGTTGTAATGGAAGCCTAGTTTACAAATGAGCTGGAAGCAAAAAGTGTGTATGAATGGAGGTTTGGCTAGCAAGAAGTAAGTGATTGATAAGTGAACACCAGTCCACAGACCAATGTCAAAGGCCTTCTGTCTGCCAGCAACTATGTGATTAGCTCCCAGCTGAACAACTTGAGGGTGTAAACATTTTGGGAGATGTTTTAGCTCTGCACTAAAACAGCATCTAAAGTTCGAGACAGCCGATTTATTTCTCCTGACCATTTACTGTAAGATGTGACTTCTAATTGAAAAGTGGGAACCAGACACCATGTGCTTTTTACAAACAGGTGCATGTACCTGGAGAAGGAAAATTGAGAAGCAGTGTTCTGGCCAGCACAAGAATCATCTCAGCAAAACCTGTGGATGAGGGGCCACTGAACTGTATTTTCCTCTGCCCATAACATCCATATTTTTTCTTCCTGTATTTCTCTGGATTTGTGTGTAGATGGCAGATTTATAAGGATGTTAAAGATTTAACGACTTGAATGATATGTTGATTGTTTATCAATGTAGTTAGAATCTATCTCTTTGTAATACTCATCTTTGTAAAATACAGAAACCTGGTCCATACTCACAGCCAACCTGAATTGAAAACTCAAGTAAATCGGCTTATTTTACACACTTTTATAGTCTTTTACTTTTCTGAGAACTTTTGGAAGAACAGCACTTGATTTCCAGTGTGCAATCCCAGAGACATAATAAGTAGTTGTGGGCCATGCAGATACCAAAAGCACAGGTAGAATCAGAAAAGAAGTTTGGCAGAGAAAATCTGCAAAGTTAGACATGAAATTAAAAAGCAGAATCTCCAAAGATTATAATCTCTGGAGCCACGTGCAAATTGGCTCGGGGTAGACAAAAGTAGAGATGATACATGGCTAAAGTACTGGTGTAGGTTAAGTGGTTCCAGTTTGTGGGCCCATGAGACCAATACTGGGGAAGGTGGATAGTGTACTGTTAAGAGTCTACACCTGCATCATGTTCAGGCCAGTGTTCTTGTAAACTGTGTAACTAGGGAAATAGACAGCGTTTTAAACTAGATAGCAGGGTATGACATTAAATGTGTAAAAACTGAGAAGAAAATAGTAATGATAAATCAGAATGGCCAGAAAGGGCAGTGAGGAAAAAATATTTTGAGAATCCACCAGCAATCCAGACTAGATCTTAAAAATAGGACTAATAGGTACCTGTCCATAACATTTATATCAAAGTAAACAAATTGATAGTGTACATTCATGCAAACATGATCTGATAGTCATTATAGTGACATGACTTCAGAGTGAAAAGAATTGGGTCCTCGATGTTGAGGGGCATATGACTATCAAATAAAATAAGGAAAGAGAGGCATTGCCTTATTAATTAAGGGTGGTGTTGAAGCAATCTGTAAATATGATTTTATATCAGCAGATCAAGATTAGTAAAGGTTTGAGTATAGATGAGGAACAGTATGGAAAGAAGTCACTCGTGGGAGTCTCCTACAGGCCACCTAACAATAACCATAATATTAGGTAAAATATTTAAAACAAAAACAGTAGTGGGTAGTTGTGATAAAGTGATGGCAGTACTCATGGGTGACTTTAATCTATATATACCCTGCAAAAATCAGATAAGCTTATCGAATGCTTAGATTCTGAGACCAACAAGTTTTGGAACCAATCAGAGCTATTTTAAAGTTGGTATTGTGAAATATCAGAACAAATTAATGATCTGAGTAGAGATATCACGAAGTAGCAGTGACAACAATATGACTCAATTTTAACATCCAATTTGAAAGGGACAAGATTGGGTCAAAGACTAGTATTTTAAACTGAAATAAAGACCACTATATGGGTATGAAAGCTGAGCCAGCTAAATTAATTTGTGATATGAGGCTAGAAGATAGGTTAATAGACCAAGTGAGAGACATTTGTGGGGATATTTCAGAGCACTCACTTTAGGTATATTGCCACCATAAGGAAAATTGTTGGATTCTTGGCAGGCTCTGAGTGACTTGGATTATAGGGAGATGAATGGTAGAGTCTGCTGAGATGTTTGGCAAAGCCAATCTTGACATCAAGATCATCTCACTGCATCCCTTTTCTCATGCAACATGGCAGCAACAAATTCCCAACTGACATGTACTATTCCTTGTTAATAGCCCAACTCATCACAGGTTGCAAACTTACCATACAAACTAGCCATCAGGTATACTCAACATGGATTTCAAAGCTTTCAGAAAGAAGGTGGTGGTTCTTACATTGCTGCAGTGGAATAGGTCATTGAGCTTCTTCTTACATTACTGTGTATGCCTCCAGATGGCTGAGAATGCTCCTACCTGTACGCGAACCTCAGACCAGCCTGGCTTAATCTGCTGTCAAAACCTCCATTTGGTGGTCCTGGGCAGAAAGAGGAAGTCCTGCCTCTGCACTGCCCCATCTAGCAGGACATTCAGGACATGAACAACAAAGTGAAGTGCCAATATTTGCTT